TCAGCATAATAATATTATAAAAGAATATTTTGTCGCATCACTGAAGATCGCAAGGCCGAGAGGATGGCGAAAGTTGTTGTCGAAGATTCATTCGATATTACAGATCGATACAATATAATAATATWATATTATATTTATATTATTATTGTGCATCGATAAAATGTGTCACGGCGGCGAACATTTATAGTTACGTCATAACAGAATATATTGTACGTAAAAAAGATAAAATACACGGTCGAGTTTTATATAATAATATTTATTAGTACCAATTACAAGACAAATTATATAAAAATACAAAAAATATAGTTAAAACTTTGGTGACAAAATTTAGGTTCAATATTATGCGCTGTTCTTGCACACATCGGTATGATGATAATACAAAATCGTAAAAAGTTTTGAACTTGAATACGACTGCGGCTTGTATATTATTTTTTTTCCTATCTTAAATTGCTGTGCTCATTTGGTGCACTTGACGCGATATTATTATATCTACAGATGGTCGTCGCATGAATTCGGGGGGAGGCTTAAAAATAAAAATCGCTCGGTTAGGTTAGGTAAGATAAGGTTTGAAAAATAAAGTCGATACCATTTTTTTAGCAACACAATTGTTATACATGAATAATAAATAATATATATATACCGGTGACCCGCGACCCGGCGACAATTGATCCACCATTTCGTAACAAAGCACGTGACCGACCATGGCGCAATGCACGAAAACATACGACGACAGAACGCCGTGGGCGTGGTTTGGAGAGCAGCGGCGACCAATGCCGCGGGCAACCAGCGTTATCGCCGTCGTGCGGTCACGCCCAACAGCCAATCGCAGCGACGCAGTGGGCTTGACCATGTGTCTATAAATACAAGTGCGGAGTCTCGAAGACTATCACTATTCTACTCTACCTTACCGTAGCAAGACCCACCCGGGCAGACTTGCGCGGTTAAGTTGGATCCTTCGCCTTGGGCCAAATTTTTACACTCGGTTAGTACAATATTCTACATCAGACGATGCATAATATACTTTCATCTACAGTCCACTCAATTTATCCTATATACGGARACATCTATGTTTAAAGTGAAAAAAAGTACTACCAAAAAAAACATCGGGAGCGCCTAATAAAAGCGAAAAAATAAATAAATAGAAGTGAATTCAAATTCGTAAATATATTTTTTATTACTATCAAAAACAATAATTTGAAACATTAAAACAGTTTCTCTACGATAAATTTGGTTTGCATATGAGCAATGATCCATCGCGAACTAATCTAAGACATAGGTAACACTACACTATTAACGCTGTTTTTTCTAGATATTTGCAAAATATCAAGTCTCAAACGTACACGCGTCTTACTTCAGTCACCACATAGACCTATAGGTTATATATAGGGTATATATAATTCTAACGATTGAATGTTCTGACAAAAATCTGTAATTATCATTAACATATAGGTATAATTCTAAACTATGTTACCTTATTACGTTTCATTTTGTTATATTAATAACCGTTTGTTCCGAGGTAAATACTATGATTATCTATGAGTAATATTTTACGAAATTAAAAAATTTGAAAAACAAAATTTCTTGTATAATTAACAYAATCACAGCCATACCATAATATGTACACAGGGTGTCCCACGAGGATTTASCCAWWGCGATATCACGAAATAATGGAGATATCAAAATTCTGGTTTTATAATAAGATTCGCAGGGATATAAGAACTACAATTATTTCATTTTTAAATTTTTTTATTTAATTATTTCCAAAAAAATTAAAGAGCCATTTTAGTTTATTTTTCTGAAAATATGTACGTTTCAAAATATTATTTTCATTAATTTACCGATTTTCAATATTTTTTCTAGTTTTGAAGAAATAAAATATGATTATAATTATTAGGCCTGCCTTATGGGAATGCGCGCGGGGCGGCGGGTCACATGTTTGATAACATAATGGTGTTAAATAATTTGCAATTTTTCTCGAAACTAAAAAAATATTAAAAATCAGGAAATTAATGAAAGTAAATTGTTGAAACATCAATATTTTCAGAAAAATTAACTTTACAAAATGGTTCTATA